CTCCTGAACCTTTTAAAATGAACATCTGGTAATGCAGACCAATTTTATCTTTAAAAAATGATTTTTCTTAAAATTGTCTTTAAAAGACCTTTTTATGTATTCGACCTACCTAACCCAAAGGTCGATGGCGACTCTATCCAAATTAATTCTAAATCACCTAATTTTTCAAATTAAAGTTGTAATTATTTTTTAAACAATAAACAATTATTTAACTAAAAAAACGGTTATGACAACATGCTTTACTATCTTCAACCACGTGCCCCAGCATCGAGCCCATTGAACTACCAGATCCAATTTATCAAAACAACACCATTAAATCTACCTCAATCAATCGTTAATAGATGACAATGTTCTAAGGTACCATCTGTCTCAAAGCCATCCTTTCTTTTCCTTGACAAAGTCAAATGGGTTATCACTGAAACTGGAATCGTAATTAAGAGAAAATTCCACAATCTTGTCACTAATCTATTGAGTATGTTTTATTTTGGTCACTACTCTAAAAATCTTATAAATTTAATCACTAACATTACAAATTTATAACAATCTAGTAATTACCCGTTAAACTAATAACAGAGAATTCACGTATGGTTTCTGATTTAGTATAATTATACATCTAATTCTGAACATTTATAAATTTTAAAATCCAAAATAATTTAATAAATTAAGTTTTTAAAATTTAGTATAAATTATATATTTAATCACCAATTTATTATTGTATCTTTATTTTGGCCATTTAATTTTTTTCCCTCAAAATTATAGTTTTTATTAATTTTTTAACAGTGAGGATCCAAAACAGAAATGAAATATAATATTAAGTACAATTTTAAAAAGGTTAAATGACCTAAAAATAAACAAAGTAATAGGTAAATGATTAAATAGGTAATTTACCCTAAACTCTATCCACTCAAGTCTTATAATTATTAAAAATAAAAAGCAGCGTATTAAAAAGAAGACATAACACTACATTGGAGGATAATATAGATTATTGAGATTATTTAAAGAGAGGGCATAGGTTTGGTAATGGCTAAGCATAGATAGGGGTAATTATGAGATGAGAGGGCAGCCATGGGTCAGTTCTCAAATTGACCTAACTTCATCCAATTATATACTCTATTAAATTAATTGATCAAACCCAGCCCTTAGAATATCTGTCTGCCAATAGGGAAAAGTTCACCATCCGCAAGATTACAACAATTATTAGTCCTTGCCCAAGTTCTTTCAAGTTCATGCTCCCTATCAATTATTAATTCGCTAACTTTTTTTCTAAAAAAATGATTAATTTTAAAATAATTATCTAAATTATATTTAAAGTTAACTTTAGATATTTAAAGAATTTTTTTTATTAAAAATAGTTATATAACGTTTTCGATATTATACTTTTAGGTATTTGTCATTAAATATGATCGTTAAGTGACACGTGTCAAGCTTGTAAATTTTTTAAAAGTTTATTTACAATTTTTGAAATATTTTATGATTGACACGTGTTACTTAACGGTCGAATTTAACGGTGTTAACAGTTCAGGCACCAAAAAGTCTAACGTTAAAAACGTTAGACACCTATTTTTGACAGAAAATTCTTTAGGCACCTAAAGTTAACTTGGGTATAGTTTGGACACTTATTTTTATATTAAAGGTGAGTTTGATAGTTGAAAAACATTCTTTGAAATATATTTTTCAGTGTTTGATAGTTGTAATTGGTTTTCCTAAATGTAATTCATTTTCTTAATTCTTTTGTATTTTCTATAAAATGTTCTACCATATGATTTTTTCGTAAAATATTTTCCTAACTTTTTACTTCAAAGCATAAACACTCAAAATAATATTATTTTATTTATTTAATATTAATATAATATTTTAATATCATTTTAGTGAAAATATTAATTATTAAAATATTTAATATATAGAATATAATTTTGATAATATTTTATTTTTAATATTATATTAATATATACTCAGTGATATTATAATAATATATGATATTATATTTTTAATTTAATAATATATAATAATTTATAATTAATATTATTTTTTTAAAATAATATTATTGAATTATTAATATGAGTAATATTATTTTATACATTTTAATAATAATTTTGACATAAAAATATTGACTAAATTAATCTAATATTTCAAAATTAATAATTTATTATGTTTGATATTTATAATATGAAATTTAACAATTACAAACGATTTGCATAGCATCATCCAAACACCGTAAAATATTTTTTGAAAATTATTTTTCAATAATTCATTTTATGTAAATATTTTTTCATAAAATTAATTGCAATGCATTAAACAATCAGTAAAAAATGGTTTACACAATATCATCAAAACACCGTAAAATAATTTCTGAAAACTATTTTTCAAAAAATGTAATATTCGGTGAAAAATGGTTTACATGATTCATGTATTCATTTTACGTAAATTATTTTATAGAAAACCAATTACTTTGTATCAAACAGACCCTAAACCTTAAAAAATCAACTACACATTTAGTACATTAATTATTATTTTTGTTTTGCTTTGATCATCTAATTATTATTTTTAAAGTATAATGCCAAATGTGACCCTCAATATTTATCAAAATGATCATCTTACCCCCTATTTTTTCCAGAGAAAATTGGCCACCAATATCTAACTTTAGGGTAAAAAGACCCATAGCGTTTGATTGAATAGTCACTTTGATCCATATTTTTTATGGAGCATTTTGGCATCAAATGATTTATTTTAAGATAAAAGACCCCTATTTTAAAGTGTTGACATTTTGTTAACTAATTTCCATCACAAAGGGATCTTTTTACCCAAAATAAAATGTTAGGGGACAAAATGCTTCAAAACAAAATAATATAAGCTAAAATGACCATTTTGGTAAATATTATAGGCTAATTTTGGCATTATTCTTTGTTTTAAAATCATAAATAACGTTATGGTTTTATTTTGTTTTGGTCACCCGATGTTAAAAAATAACAGAAATATTGATGTGATATTTTTAATTTTTTTAATAACGATGTGACATTATCTTATGATGACACACTAGCATCACCATTAATTTTTTAACGATGGGTGATCAAAATAAAACAAAATGTAATATTATATGATTTTGAGAAAAAAATAATTGAATAATCAAAGTAAAAAACAATAGTTGGATATTAGATGTGTAGTTTACCCTGAAAAACTAATGCAATTAATTGATGACAGTCAAATTCTTGAAATTGGTGTGGGGATGATTGTTCAAAGTTATTATGTTATCATGGACAATGATGTGCATAACAATCAATGGCACCCATCGTTTGCAATTCCAATAAAAATCAATTTTTATTTGGTTCCAATTCAACCATTAATACCCACCGCGTTAACTTGTCAGCAGATTTTTTTTTATTATCTTTTTAACAATTCCTACATAGTTTAAGGAGATTTTACTTTGAATATTGAACTATAATTTAAGAAAGAGAGAGATTATCAACTAAATTTTTTTAATTACTTACTCCAAAGATTATCAAATTATCAGCTGATTTTATAAATATCCTATTTTGCAATAAAAGAATTTTAATTTCATGCTTCTTCACGGTTCAAATGATAGGTCTTGGGATGTTTTATTAAATACATTTAATATTATGATAATAGTATCTTTATATTTTTTTATATACTCTATATTTTTATATAATTCTATAATAAAATAGTTAAGAATTAAATATGAGATTAATTAAATTAATTAACAAATCACATTTTTAAATAAAATTGGATTTTACAGCTAGATAGCCACAAATTTATATAAATTATTTAAAGATTAGGTGGGTATACATTTAAAATATGCTATCAAAATTTTTAAGGATAAAGTACACAAATGGTCCCCGATTATAGTGTATTTTTTTGTTGAGTCGTCAATTATTAAAAGTTAAAATATGATCATCCGACTATAGGGTGTTGCTTTGTTGAGTCTCCCGACTATTAAAAGTTACAAAATGGTCACCCGACTATTCATATGTTTCAAAGTCGTCCTCTTTCGTTAAAATTTTGATAGCAATCTGAGCTGGACGTTAACTTACTAACTGAGATATGTTAAAAAGTGATCCCAGAATCTCAAACGACTATCATATGTCAGTCAACGTGTTAATGTCCAGCTTAAACTACCGTCAAGTTTTTAACTAAAAAAATTACTTTGAAACATATAAATAGTCGGATGATCATTTTGTAACTTTTAATAATCGTGAAACTAAAAAAATAAAAATACACTATAGTCGGGGAACCATTTGTGTAATTTTCTCATTTGTCAAATAGTGTAGACTTAATTCATACAATTTGATTACAAATATTCCTTTTATCTATAGTAGATAAAGAGATAGAGAGAAAGATTAAGGGTAAACTATATGTTTAATATCTAAGTTATTAGTTTTATTTTGTTTTGGTACCTTAAGCTTTATTTTTCCCCAAAATCATACCAAACGTTTAGTTTATGTTTCATTTTGGTACTTGCGGTTAAAAACTTAACGGGGAAGTTGATATGTCACCATAGGATAATATAACACTAGCATTTTTGTTAAATTTTAATTACACGATATCAAATTGAAACCTAAACGAAATGTTAGATATAATTTTAAAAAATAAAATAAAATTTAGATACCAAAATAGGATAAAAATAGTTTAGTTACTTAACGTGTAGTTTACTTGAGGATTAAACATAAGTTTCCATTAATAATGATTAATACGGTTTGAAGTCTAAGATTAGATGTTAAAAGGTGTTTTGGGTATATTAAGAAGGTGTCAAACCGCGTACTAAGTTCTTAGCCTCCCCTATTTCGCCGCCGGCAGATATTAACGTGAAACCTCACCCCTTCCTTTATGGTTCCCAAATACGTATGTACTATATATAGTCTAATATCCTACAGCTTACAAATGAAGACCCCATTTTTATATATTTTTTCCAACCTAACCTAATCTTATTTTAATCCTATCCCTTATCGTGTCTTCTTGTCTTCTCTCTCTCTCTCTCTCTCTCTCTCTCTCTCTCTCTCTGCAACTTAGGAGCTGAAAAGTTTTGCTTCCTTCTTAAGAAGTGATTATCAAATGATGGAGGGAATATAAATAAATACCCTTCTTCTTCTTGTTGGTCCCCTGAGGGCACTTCATCGTTTTATCCTTCTCATCTTTTCCTTGTTTCTTTTTTAGGACAAAAAGGGTTGAATAAGTGGATTTTGTGGGGGGGGGGAGAAATGGAGGTTCTTGTGGGCCCCACGTTCGGAATGGAAGCCGCTGCCTCGGCGGTTACGACTACGTTTGTTAGAGAGCGTCAGTCTGAGGAGAAGTGTATCGGCTCCTCCTCTTGCTTTTTCCTCAAGGAGGAGGAAGATGTTGGCGGGTCGCCGGGTGTATCATCGGAGAGTTCGTCGTCGATTGGATCGTCGGGAGGCAGCGATGATGAAGAGGAAGACGGTGTATTTTCATCTAGGGCAAGAGGAAGCTTGGGTTCGTTGGGTTCTCTAGAGGATTCTCTTCCAATCAAGTTAGCGTCTGTCTCCATTTTCTCTTTTGTTGTTAAAACTTTTCGCCCAGTTAATCAAACAATATTCTTAGCATCTATCCATTTTCTCTTTAACTCAAATTGGATCTAATCTTTTGATAGGAGGGGATTGTCGAATCACTATACGGGAAAGTCAAAGTCATTTGCGAATCTGTTAGATGTAAGCACAGTAAAAGAAGTGGAAAAAGCAGAGAATCCATTCAACAAAAGGAGGAGGATTTTGCTTGCAAACAAATGGTGCAGGTCCAGGAAATCATCTTTTTATTCATGGCAAAACCCCAACTCCATGCCTCTTCTTGCTTTGAACGAAGACGATGAAGAAACGCCATCAACATCGTCAAATGATGATAAACTAGAAGCAGCATCAGTAAAACCTGAACTGCAGCACAGCCAACTGAAGGTCACTCACAAGTCGCAGAGTTGTTTTTCTTTAACAGATCTATAAGTACAAGATGAAACTCAATAACACTTTTTTTTTATTAAAAAAAGATCAAGATGCTTTAGGGTTTAGATTATTATTCCTTGTGTTGTTTGCTGTTGCCCTTTCTTCTTTATTTTGCTCGAAGAAAAACAAAAATTTTAAGTGATTTAATATATAAAGAGTTAACTGCACAAGAAGTCCCCACACTATGACATATATCCTAAATCAACCCCTAAACGTTAAAGTATTCTTTTTTTTTGATAAGTAAAGATTTTATTCATCCAAAAGGAGCAGTAAGCTGCTACAAAGAATAATATAACACTAAGACAAATCCCAATCTAGACATAGCCTCCTATTTACATCATCAATCAAGTTCATACTGCATCTATACAATTTAATTCTTATAGAATCTCTAATTTTATGAACAATTGCATCAACAGAACGATTAACACATCTAAACAGCTATGATTACGTTCCTCCCAAAGAAAATAGACAAAACCAGTCCAAGCAAGCTTTAGGATACAAACAAGAAGGGATTTACCCCTCAAATTCAAGGCCAGCCAGTGCAAAGAATCATCCCAGCAAAGAATCGGCTAGTTATGAAGACCACAAGTCTGCAAGATTACATCCCAAACCTCTCGGGCGAAAGAACATTCTAAAAACAAGTGATTCCGAGATTCCAGCTCAACTCCACACAGACCACATATATGATCAACCTGAATTCCAAATCTGGCTAACATATCCTTTGTAGGAAGCCTATCCAGAATCACCATCCAAGCCACAATGGAAAATTTTGGGACATGAGCAGGAAACCAAATCAATTTGTGCCAATCAACCTTGTCCCTCCTCTCACGGATATGGTCCCATATCCATGCACCTCTAATCTGAGACAAAACAGCAGCAGAACCAAAAAGTCCCCAAGCCTCCTCCCTCATTTTCACCAGTTTTCTTAGGATCCAGCTAAAATGAGGCTTACAGTCAACTGTCCAAAAATCCATAGCCTTGAAACAATAAGATTTGAGCCAAGCAATCCACAAAGAGCCCTCATCAGCTAGAATTTTCCTGATGAGCATGAAGCAGCATGCCCTACTCCAGTCAGAAAGTTTCCTCAAGCCCAGACCACCCTCTGATCTTAAAGAACAAACCTAACTCCAACTCACTCTAGCCCCTCTAGCTGAAATATCACAACCTTTCCAAAAAAACCTCATGCATAATTTTTCAACATCTCTGATGACCCCTCTGGGCAAGACCAACTGCCTGCTCCAATAGCCAAAGATACTAAACAGAACCGACTTAACCAACTGTAGCCTCCCCCCAAAGCTTAAGTGCTTGCTCGACCATTTATCAATTTTATCATTGATTCTCACAAGTAGAGCTGAGCAGTCTTTGCTAGAAAGTTTTCGAGTAACCAAAGGCACACCCAAGTACCTAACAGGCAACTGACCATGCTTGAAACCAGTAGCTATACAAATCAGATCCAGACTACACCGAGGCACCCCGCAAGCAAACAATTCAGATTTCATAGCATTAAGCCTTAAGCCAGAAAGTTCATAGAACCTGTCTAGAATGCTAACAACACCCAAAACAGACTCCAAGGATCCATGGCAAAAAATGAAAAGGTCATCAGCAAAACAAAGATGAGTAAGTGAGATTTTTTTGCATTTTGGATGGAACCTAAACACTCCATGCTTAGCAGAAACATTCAATAATGATGAGAGGACATTCATCACTAGAACAAAAAGATAGGGGGATAAAGGATCACCTTGCCTCACTCCTCTAGCACCCCTGAAATACCCTACCAAACTGCCATTTAAAGAAATAGAGTACCTAGGAGTTGTAATGCAAGCTTTAATCCAACCACAGAAAGTTTAAGGCAGGCCTAAGGCTTGAAGGACAGTCAATAAAAAGTCCCAAGAAACATAATCAAAAGCCTTTTGAAGATCAATCTTTAAGGAACATCTAGGGGAGAGATTTTTCCTAGAATAACCCCTAATAATCTCTTGTGCAAGCAATGTATTTTCAGCAATATTTCTACCTTTAACAAAAGCTGACTGACTAAGGGAAATCATATCAGGAAAAACATATGCTAGCCTAGTAGCCAAAATTCTAGTAATAGTTTTATAGACAACTGAGCAGCAAGATATAGGTCTAAAATCTTTGGCCATACAAGCATTTAAAGATTTAGGAACCAATACAATGGTTGTGACATTAAAGGCTGGCAGGAGGGAAGATGAGTGGAAGAAGAATCTTACTGTATTAAGGTATGATCCATATCTTAAATTAGTTCCTAAACTTTAAGATATTCTATATCAGTCTTTAAACTATCAATATCATTTTATTTTAATCATTTTGTTAATATGCTGTTACTGGTTTTTGAAGGTCAAGAGAATTGAATATGTGATTTTCTAAAAAAAAATTATTTTTGAAGATCCTAGGAATTGAATATGTGACTTTTTAAAAAAGTTAATTTGTTTTTGAAGGTCATGATCATTTTTTAAAGGTTAAGGCTCAATTCTCAAGTCAAGACCTTAAAAAATATATTAAAATTTTTAACCAATAAAATTAATGATAGGATACAAAAAGATTAAAATAAAATTATATTGATAATTTGGAGATTAATATATAATATGTTAAAGTTTAAGGACTAATTTAATAAGGATTATAGTTTAGGATTAATATTAAATGTTTTCAAGTTTAGAGACTACTTTATAATAAGGATCATAATTTGGGGATAAACAAAAATCTTACATTTACTATTTCTTTTTTTAGTTTCGAAAAGATGGACACGTAGGATTATTCATGGGCATTTATGTATTCATATGTCATGTTCTTGCGTTATGTTTGAAAACTATTAGATCCTTGTGTGTTTGGAATTGGAGGTTGTATATTATTAAATGGGTGATGGATGACATTTCCCTTCGTCCATTTACAGACAGGTAACCTCAAATGAACCAAGATTTTGTAAATATTAATTTTATATTATAAAAATATAAGATTTTAACGCATATTTGACCACTGAATTTAGCCAATTTTATCACTTGAACCCTTAAAAGATTTTTCATCACTTTAGCCACTGAACTTACGAATTATTAACACCATGCTCAACTCTAAAAAGGATCAATCCAGCCCCGCTAAAGCCATGGCAACGGACATACATTCACAACATGATGAGGCAACTGGAGCCAATCAGACAACCAACTTGGCAAAATCATCAAACACATCCAATAAAAACCAAGCGGATACATTCAATGACCAAATATGCATTTAGGGTATGTTTGTTTGTCTGTATTTAGTTTTTGGAAAATGAATTACTGGAATTTGAATTATTGAATTTGAATTACTAAAAAATGAATTATTGGAATTTGAATTCTGGAAAATGAATTACATTTCTGGAAAATGAATTATATTTCTGGAAAACATCTGGAAAACGTTTTATGATGTTTGGAAGATGTTATTTAAACCTTTTTTCCACTAGTTGAAGAGTTTTTTAAAAATTATTTATTAGAAATATTAAATATAATAAATAATAGTATTTCTCATAAAACTTAATATTATTATTTTAAAATATTAAAATAATTTATTTATTTATTTTTTTATAATTTTATTAATAAAAATATTAATATTAGTATATTTTAGTGAAATAAAATATTATAAATTATATTAATTATTTATTAAAGTAATAGTGTTATATTATATTTTAAAAATATTAATTAGTATATTTTAAATATCTTTACTAGTATATTTTTAAATATATAAATAATATTATTCATTATTAAATATATAAAAAAAATTATTATATATTATTAAAATAAAAAATATAATATCTTATATTATTATAATATAATTGATTATATTATTAAACTAAAAATATAATATAATATTATTATAAATATTAATAAATATATTTTAAATATTTTAATAATTAATATTTTGATAAAAATGATATTAAAATATTTTATTAATAATAAATTCATAAAATAAAATTATTTTGAGTATTTTTGCTTTGAAGTGAAAAGTTCGGAAAATGACTTACAGAAAATGAATCCGTAAGTCATTTTACAAAAAACACAAATGAAATTATGTTACTAGGAAAATGAATTACGTTCCGGAAAACGAATTACGTAAAGCAAACACGAGAAAACATTTTCCGAAAAACGAATTACGTGAAACAAACACAAGAAAACATTTTCCAAAAAACGAATTACATAAAATAAACACGAGATTTCGAGAAAACCAATTTCGTAATTAATTTTACGACAAATAAACACACCCTTAACCTTAGTTATAATTACAATGAAGTAGCATCTTTTTTCAATTTGTAGATGCCATCTGAATTTTCTGAATACTCTTCCAAGATAAACACGTGGCGACAAGCGGACAACACAGGATATTCTTTTTGTGATAGGTAATCATCTAAGAATATGAAGAAATTCCTAATGAATTGGAAATTCTAAACTAAAAATCTTAATTTAAGATAAAGGTAAGGAAGTATAGTGACAAATTTAGTTAATATTGTCGTAAATCTGATTTTTACATAATTATGTTGGTGATTTTCCCGATATATCACCGTTAAATAGTATAATTAACGATCAGACACCGTTCAGACTATATTTTTCGATCTAATACCCTTTGCAGAAAGGCGCGACCCCTATAACGCGCTTTACGTTGATTTGATGTCACATGAGGTAAGTCGTACCCCCTGAAACGTGCCTTACGCTGACATAGTGTACACGTGTGTAAAGCGCAGCCTCGGGGGCGAGCCTTAGGCCACCTAGGAGTATAGCGCAGGGAAGGGGTCGCGCCTTACCTTTAACACAATTATATTAGGCGCGAAATAGGGGCCGCGCCTTTGCTTTATCTGATATAATTATGTAAGGCGCGGTGCAGGTACCGCGTCTTGTAGCTTTTCCCAGCTATAAATACCCTTCCCCCGGGGTAACTCCTCACATCTCCTCTCGATTATAAACAAATTAATACAACAATCCGACAATATTCTCATATTTGATTCAGAAGTTCGTGCGATTTTTCGTTATAAGGTAATTTTGTGATAATTTTTTTTATTATACTTATTGTTTATTATGATTATTTGAAAAAATATTATACTAATTGTTGTCAATTAATTTATGTGTTTGTAAAATTAGAAAGCGAGAATATACGTCGAAATAGTTTTGCGGTACAGATAACAATATAAAATTATATTATTTAAATTATTTACGTTTATGTGTAAAAATTTTATTCTGTTATATTTTCGTTCATATATTATTTATTTAATCAGCATTGTTTCAGTTTTTTTTGCAAATATAATATTGTCGCACTTTTAAACTCAAAGAATGGCGCGTCTTTCAGCTATTGTTTTTTATGATGGTGAAATTTGAGAAGGTGAAACCGACGTTGTTTTCGCATCAAATGAGCGTGTTAAAATATCATTGAAGAGAAACATAACTCTTGAGGAGCTGATAAAGAATATTTTGAGGAAGATTCATGTTGGTAGTAGTAGAAGAATGTCGTCGTTGCAGTACAGATTTCCAACATCATTGTTGCCATTAACTTATACAACGTTCGAATTTTTGAACGATGATGATGTTGAAATGATGGTTGAAGCTCAAAGTAATTATTCAGACGCCGATATTGAGATGTATGCAAATTTTATTCAAGTGTGTGTTGTTCGGGCTCAATCATTAAGCTCCCACTATGGGCTGGCTGAACAAGTTGATAGTCGACGACAGTAATGTGTAATGATTTTAATGCCATAATGGGGAGACATTCATCCGCAACTTCTTCCGATATGTACCGAGGTGGGTCGACGAACAATCCGTATGGCAACATCGCGTCCAGTTCAAGGGGAAGGCATTCATCTGTAAATCCGATGGAGATGCCATCGACGCAATAATCTGTGCAGTTTCCATTTGACACGATGACTTCAAGCTCCAGGGGGAGGCCTTCGACTGCGAGCTTTTTCGATCTGAATGTCGATATGCCTTCCAGTTCAAGGGGAAGGCATGCAAGTAGTAGGTTCTTCGACCTAAATGTGGAGAGCATGGAGGAACCATCATCTCCACCAGAAGAACCGCTTCGTGAGCCTGGTGCGGATGGTGCTGAGACTGGACTATTCATTCACCCAGAATCACCGCAATTCAACTCCGATGATGATGATAATATGGATGAAGTTCCAGCAAATGTGGCACAAACTGACCATCCAGCACACATGTATGAAGCTGATTATGGTGCAATGCATGGGCCAGAATTTACGGATATGCCTCATCTCGGTGATTATGGATATTACTCATAAATAAATAATGGTGAGTTATATTTAGGCATGGAGTTTTCAAGCAAAGAAGAAGCGATGGTGGCTATAAAAAATTATAATATCCGTAATTATGTTCAATCGAGAGTCGACCGCTCCACGACAGAAAAATATGTATGCTACTATGCCCGATACAAAACAGATGCAATTGGATGGTTCGCGTATCGAAGAGGAAGAGGAAAAAAACATATGGGAACTAACAATATACAACGGTCCTCACACATGTTGTGCTGGAGGGGTCAACCAAGATCATCCCAACTTGGACTCTGAAGTGATATGTCAAGCCATCATGCCCATGGTAAAAGCAAGCTCTCATATAGCTATTGCTGTGTTAATTTCAACTATACAATCGCAGTATGAGTACACTGTCTCCTATAAAAAAGCTTGATTGGCAAAACAAAATGCCATTGTCAAACTTCATGG